GGCCTACAAACCAGCTGCAGCCTTTGGATGAAACTCTGGCTTTTTGGGCCCTGCTGTTTATAGAAAAGCGGCGGTAAATATTATTGCAGCTACATACTTGCCTTGTCAAGTAACTGCTAACAGGCAGCACCTGCGCTGCTCGGGAGGCCGGGGAAATGGCCGGCGAAGGAAACGGAGGCGTAAGGGGGGCTCCGAGGGCCCCCCGGGAAAACGCAGGCAGAGACCTGATGTTAGATGGTGCTAGAATAAATATCATCCGCCGTGGTTATAGAGCCAGCGTGGCGGGGAGGATGGTGGTGGCACCTTCCCCGTCGCCCCTGGGTGCTGCGGTGAAGCAGGCAGCGCTCCCCTGCTGGGGGCCACGGCCTGTCCCCATCCCTGTCCCCCCGCGCGGCTACCGGCGTTGCGGGTTTGGTGGGAGACGTTGGAGAGGGGTGCCACCACCCAAACCGGAGCTGCTCGCTGGGGGGTGGCCTCCTCCGCTGTGTCCTGCAGAGAGCGGCAGGACGGGGAACCTCAGGATGGCGGCGCCGGCGCGGCATTATCCGGCAGAGCACCGAGTGCCCACGGGCGGACAGCAAGAGCCGCCAGGTTTTGGCGTCGGGCAGGCAGCCGCAGCTCAGGGGGAAAGCAGTCGTTCCGGTGTGGGTGGGCGTTCCACCCCCCCCATCTCGTGCAGGCTTTGCAGGTGTTAAGAGGGGACGAGCCCACCTCCTGCTTGGCGAGACTGCAGTACTGTCGTCCCGGCTCGGTCCTGGCGCACGCAGCAATGCCGGGGGCCGCGCTCGGCCCCAGCCGGTGTTACTGTCCGAACTGGAGCTGGGATGGCCGCACCATTTGCGTTTCGACCCGCCTCCGCCCCGTGCCTGTGGAAGGCCGGGAAAGGGGAGCCCCGAGGCGGCCAGTTCTTGCCGGGGCGGGGGGCCCCCCCCCCCCCCCCCCCCCTCTTGTCTTTGCAGATGCGCTGGCTCCCTCCCTCCGAGGCTGGTTCTCAGGGCTGGAAGTCCCGTCAGTTCTGCTGAATGCCGGGTGAGTGCCGCCTTCCCGCTCCCCTCCTCCTCGCACCGGCGTGGTGGGCTGGGGGGCACCGCCACCGTTAACCTTGAGCTCCCCCCGTGCGCCTCTCGGGGTCTCCGGCAGCTTGGGGTGGGCATCCGGACCTTGCGCTCGCGCTGGAGAGGCCATTTTCCAGCAGGCACCGTAGGTCCAGGCGTCCTCCTTGCCCCCACCGGGCTTGCCGTTGGGAAGGGGATGTCTCTGCCACTGTCCACCCTAATGCTTTCCCAAATAACCCCGGGCAGGATGGAAAGGCAGGTCCGTCGCTCGCCGGCCTGTTGTTGCAGCAGCGGAGGATGCGTGCCCGGGGGGGTGTAACGATGGCGCGGTCCTGCAAATGAAGGTGGCAGCAGGGCCGCCCGGCTGAAGGCAACCTCCGCCTCTCAGTGCAACCCGAACATCTCGTTTAACCCTAATGAAAACCCTCCGGGCAGCGCGGGGCGGCGGGGCTGCCAAAACGAGAAGTGCGTCGTTACCGAGTGCCCGGCTGCCCGGCAGGAGGGAAGGGGGCTGGTTCGATTACGCCTGGGACCTCTTCGGATGGGAAAAGCCCTGCGAGGGAGGTCAGGAAGATACGCTCTGCAAATAACTCGGCCTCTCGCGGATAAATAAACAGAGGGGATTCAAATGGGAGAGGGGAAAGAGGCTCGGATGATGCTGAGCATCGCTCGCCCCGTGATCCCAGCCTGCCCCGACCATCCCAGCTGCCGTCCCCCTGCACTGCCGATCCCTGCCGGGAAGCCTCCTGTGCCACGTCCGCACCCACCTGCAGAGAAACCTCAGCGGATCCAACGAGGCGGCGAGGCCCCGGCGTCGGCTGCCTGCGCTCCCGTGCCACCGCTCTGCCCGTCCGCCCGGCACCCGCAGCCCTGCGCCGTGGCCAGAAGGCTCACTCACCTGGGGGCAGGGGGGCAGGAGGACTGGCGATCCCTGCCGGGAAGCCTCCTGTGCCACGTCCGCACCCACCTGCAGAGAAACCTCAGCGGATCCAACGAGGCGGCGAGGCCCCGGCGTCGGCTGCCTGCGCTCCCGTGCCACCGCTCTGCCCGTCCGCCCGGCACCCGCAGCCCTGCGCCGTGGCCAGAAGGCTCACTCACCTGGGGGCAGGGGGGCAGGAGGACTGGCCGTGGCTGCAGCCCACCCGAGACTTGGATCTGCAAAGCATTTACCGGCTATTTTAGGCCCAGCAGATAAAAATAGGGAGCGGCGAGGCTTTGGGAACCAGTGGTTCTTCCAAAATACGGAGCGTGCCAATGTTTCCAGCTAAAATGTAAGCGGAGTCTTATTTGGGAAGGGGAGATGAGTGAATCCCTGGGAACAGGTTTACCTGCTCGTGGCGACCCTGGTAGCCGCAACGGGCAGTGAGGATGGGCTCAGCCCGGACAGGAGGATCGGGGACCTCCCCGCCAGTCTCCTCCAGCTGGGAAGGGCTACGGCACAGCCCAGCGAAGGGGTTTGCTGCCGCCCCGGCTCTCCCACCTGCATCCTCCTCGTATTTACCGCGTGGAGCCCATCCGGGCAGGGCTGAGCTGCAAACTGCCCCCTTGGGAAGCGCTGACCCCAGCCACGGCAAAATAACCCCGCGGCACACCGACCTCAGCCCCTGGCTGCCGGCCGTCCCTGCCAGCGTCCCTAACCCTCCGCTGTGTCCTCTCACAGGTCTCAGGTGTGTGATGGTGGCCTACAGTCAGTCTTGTGGGTATTAATGGAGTCTTCCAAGGCGGCTACTGGGTTGGCGTGCTCTCCGCAAAACCACAGTGTGCTGGTAAGGCTGCAGCACGGCGGCCGGCTGCACGAGGGGGACACGGCCCCTTGGGCTTTGCTGCTTTGGGGAGGGGGTAGAGGGGTGAGGAAGCCGGCGGGACGTCCGCGAGGGGCAGCAAGACGGGCACGTCTCTGGGATGGAGCCCTGCAGGGTGGTGTTGCTGCTCCCGCTACGGCACAACACGACACCTCCAGCACCGAACCACGGCTCTGCCATTCCCCGCGTTTATCGTTGTTATCTGGGGCGAGAGTTTCGACAGCCGAGGAATGCCTCTCGGCTTTGAATTACCCCCTGTAATCTCATCTCGCTGCCGTCCTCGCTTCCTGCCTTGGATCAACAGAGACTGAATTCCTCTTAAGTGCAAAACTCAGCTCAAACTTAACTCTCAGCTTCCCAGCTGGTACCTCCTTAGTTAAAACCCCAGGGGCTACAGCCCGCAGGAGGAGCAAACGGGAGACCAGCGGGGCCCTTCCCCCCCGCCCCGCCGACCGACCCCGGGGCGCCGACAGCCCCGTCTCTCCCCGCAGGCGTTTCCCACCTTGCCCTTTCCCTGTTAAACAACTGTCCCTGGAGCGCGGTCCCGGCCCGGGGGTGCTCTCCCTTTCTCACCCGGTTTCCAAAACAAGGCTCCCTCTGCCCCAGGCTGCGGCACGGGAGCTTCCCCACGAAGGGAGAGAGATGAACCACAGCCCCTTTTCTGCTTTGCCTCAGCCCAAGATCGTGGCTGCTTTTTTTTTTTTTTTTTTTAACACCTCTCTCTCTTGTTACAGGCTTGAAAAAAAAAAAACCAAAAACCTCACACAAGTTTGGATTCCTCCAAGACTTTCCCACAGCCTCTATCACACATCTGCTCTCCTAGAAGAAAAACGAAAAGCATACCTAGTAATAATATTTTCCTCTTTTACACTGTATATTTGTAAGAAAGAGTGTGTTACTTCTGAAAGCATGGTTTGACAGGCATTGCTGTAGTGTTTGAAAAGTCTTTTCAAACAGAACCATAGGAAAGCAGACTACAAAAAAAAGCAAAATGAGAGCAAGTATTTTTGTACCAAACCTCCTAAATAGGACAATCTTACACTGGGTCGGACCACAGGTTTTGTGCTTGACTTTTGAATGCGTGTAATTAAGAGTCTCTATCCTGCCCCCCTCCCCCCCGTCAGCTGCATGTCGAAGGCACGACGTTCACGTGCGTGCAGATGTCGAGACGCACGATTCGGGTTTGTAGGAGTTGTGCTCCCTCTGGCACGAGAGTTGTGCTCCGGCTGTGTCGGCACGACGTCTGCCGACACTTACAGTATTACCGTTTTCTTCCCAGTTGTACCAAATGACAACCAGGCAGGACAATCAGAAACTTTCTTATGGTGATTTTTTTTACCTTAGGGCTATGTTAATAGCTTGCTGTGCAAAGCTTCGGCATGGTACAACGGCTCGGATCAGGGATGGGCAGAGACAGCCCGCACATGTAGCAAGGTGACAATTTGCCTCCTCCTCCTGCCATGACTGCTTGAAGTTGTTACGGGCAACATAAACTGCTGTATGAGGAAAAACAAACAAACAAACAAACAAACAACACACCCTCAGTTCGCCAGCTTACTCGAGGTCGGGTGCGAGTCCCGAGCGAGCCGAGGGGCTTAGACACGCGCCTACCGTTACGCCAAAGCGCTGGGCTGAACGGGGGTTTTAGCGTCAAGGTTATGCCGGTCCGGCGGCTCGCTGTGTAGCATTTCCATGTTTCCATGTGCAAAGACAAGAAGGGAGGCTGCTAACACCCTTGGGGCGGTATCTGTAACCTCTACAGAGATAGCGTACCAGCAAAGAGATCGCTTGACGTACTAGTTTCTCCTCCTCCTTGCTCCAGGAGGAATTGGGAAAAAGAAAGAGCAAAGCAAACCAAACCAAACCCTCAAACAGATTTCAGTTTCTTGCAAAAGGAGGCGCAAACCTTCTCCTTTCATTGCCCTTCCCCCTCACCCCATCCCTGCCGCAGAGTACACCGAGCTCAGCCGCTGCCCGGGCTTCGCCGTAGCCGGTTTTCCTAGCTGCACCGAAGACACAGGGTGCCCGTGGCCTTGTTAAACATCATAACCTTTTTCTTCCTCCTTCCTTTTATTCTGTGGGTGGGCCAAAATAAGACGGCTGAGATTTCGGCTGCCGGGGCGGGGTGAGATGGTGCGATGGGAAACTGTCCCGTTGGGGTCTTCTGTAAAAAGCGGGATTGATAAAGGCGACGTGAGAGGAAATCAATTCCCAGACAGACCTCTGAGCGGCTCTAAAAGGAACGGTACCAGCGTTTCCAAGCGACGGACTAACTCTTTTAGCAAACTATTTCCTGTACTTTGTCTCGTGGAGAGGAGAGAAGCTTCCACATTGTCTACTCCGCTTTTGGAAATATGTTTAAAGGTACTTTTCTATTGTAATTTTTTAAAAATAAAACCAGTGATTATTGTAAGTTACGTGCAGAGCGCTGTCGTGTGCTGTGTATCTGGTTAGGAACAGGGAGAAGGATCCCAAAACACAGCCTTCGGGGCCTCGGGGAACAGCAGCCTCTTTCCTCCCTCGGGGTGTTTGAAGGCAACTTTCCTGAGGGACGTGGCGATTTTTCAGGGCAGATACCGTCGTCCCGCCTGGCTCGCTTGGATCTCTAGGAAAGCTCGAAAATCCAGGCTGGAGGGATCAGCAGGCTTTAAAGAAATGACTCCAAGTTTACAAAGATGTTATCGGTTAGTTTTTAAAGCTACTAATCTTGGCACTGAGCACAGGAGCTAAGCTGCGATTTTCCATGAGCTCAGCCACAGCAGAGGCAAACGTAACCTAGAGACGAAGGGCCAGATTTTATTTTTTTTTTTTAACACGCTGAGAATTTTGAAAAAACTCGGTTCATAAGCCCAACCTAGAGATTCCTCCTCCTCCCTCCGCTCCGCCCCTGCCCCGATAAATGTGACCATCGTCCCCAGGAGCCTCGGCCAACAGGCCGGACTCCGAAAACAAAGTACCAGGAGCAAGCTCCAGCTTAGCAAACGCAGCCCGGAGAATGGTGTGTAAAGGACGTTATTAAGGCAGGCTACAAACTGTCGAGGGCGGAAGGAAAAGGCCTGGTGGCGTTACTTGAAACCCCCGGCTGGCAGGGATGAGCCGGGGAGTTAAGCCCTTAATGTTGGATGCTAATCCCCCCGCAGCCACCGCAAGTCACAGCTTTCTTTCCGACTCGCGTTCAGGGGAGAGGTTTGTTGGCAGGCCCAGGGTAGGAAGGGAAGAGAGCGACAAGCTGCGAGCGCAGCGCGAACACATTGCTCAGCCCAACTGCTATTCAGAGAGGCGGTAACTGGCCGACACCACTGTCCCAGGCACCGCTTTAGGGAGAGACACAGATGCTTTCGGGAGCGGATTCAACAGCAAACATCCTCCAGCTAAGAAAGCGATGAAACACGCACGCATCCTCCTGGACTTTGCCTGGGCACAGCATCTGCTCCGGGACCTGCCCTGTGAAAGGAAGCGGGGCCTTTTTGAAAATATTTAACCTCTTGAACCATTTTTTTTTTTTTTTTTTTTTTAATTTCCCCTGTAAGCCAAAACGTTTTCGGCTCCGTGCTGATCGGCGTTGCCCTCATCAGCGAGGGGCGGGAGCGGCAAGCTGCTCGCCCGGCTCCAGAGTCTCCTTTGCCTGTGGTGACCTTTCCCCACGCAGCCGGGGGAACATTCCTTCCCCGTGACCGTCGGGGCACTTACAGGAAGGCCCAAGCTGCTGGCTGACACCGGGAGATTGCAAAATGGGACCAGGGACTCCCAGGCCAGCGCTGGCATCCGATACCAGGGATAAGTCCCAGGGGGTAAGAACAGGCAGAGCTGGAAAAACCAAAATGAGAAAATTTCGCAGGCTCATTGTTTCCACTTTCCCAAGTCTTTCTCTCCCTATGCCCCTAACGCCGAGGCTAAGCTCGGGGAGGGGGGGAAGCGAGCAGCTCCTTCCTACGTATCCCTGCGCAGAGGTTTGCTGCACCGAGGCTGGCCGCTGACGGGCAGCTGGCTAGATACGACGGCGAAGGCAGGGAACAGGCAGGCAGGTCTGCGGAGAAAAACACAGCGCTAACTCCCCGCATCGGGCGGACACAACCGAGCGGCGGCGGAAGACAGGAACAAGATGGGAGAAGGAGAGCTGTACCTCCCAGAGGACTGTACGGGGCGGGGGGGGGCAGGCAGCCTGTGCAGGCAGCAGCGAAGGCAGCCGGGCAGCAGCGGCAGGGACTAGGGGATGGTGCTGCGGGAATGGAGACGGGCCAGCCGAGGCAGGGAGAGCAAAGGGCAGACAGAGCCGGCGCCGAGGCCGGCCAGCAGCGCCCGCAGCCCGGATGGGGCAGGGAGGAGGAGCAAGCCCAGCACCCGCTCCTGCGGGCCTCCTCGGGAGAGCGGGGGAAGGAATAACAAGGCCGGGAGAGGAAAGATGAGATAGCACTGGGGTATGGCCAGGCAGCCTTAGAGGCCGAGACACAGGCTGGGAGGGAAGCCGGCAGCAAAGAGGTGGCTTTGTGAGGACAGCTGGGGCCAGGGCAAGGGTGCAGCGCTCACCGTGGATTTGCTCCCTGATTCTCGAAGCTTGGGGAAATTGAGAGGCGTCAGCCAGCAAGGGTCACGGCACTGCCTGAATGCTGCCAGGCAAGGCTGCTCCGTGCTCCCTGCCAGCAGGAAAAGGCTCCACGCGCCTGGGAAAGCACGCAGCTAGAGCATCGGCCACCCCAGCGCCCCGGGGAAGGATGGGGATAACTGCACTCAGGGGATTACACAGTGCACCTAAAAGCCTGAAGTTTGCCCCGGGGCCGTGCCTGCAGCACAGAGCCAGGGCAGCCATCCCCAGGCCAGGCATTGCCTGCAGCGGGGAGACATTTCACTACCCAGGGAGATGAGCAGGGTGCCGCAGATGTGTGCCCTGCAACTGCAGGCTGCCCGGAGAGCCAGGCTTCAGCCAACATTTAAACACCGTTATCTGCCTCGCTGCCACGCTCAGGCTAGAAACCAGGACGACAGCGGAGCTTAAAAAGCAAAGCTAAGAAACACCATTAGCAAATCCCTGCAATGCTTCTTCTAAAACACGGGGAAGTCAACCATTAGCAGAGTCTGGACTTCATCTCTGCAGTCTCCATAATTAATAACTAGCTCAGGAGGGAATAGAGAATACAACATAACTGATGGAGACAGGAGGAAATCACACAAGTACTTCAGGCCTTGGATGTAAGCCCAGAAGTGCAGGTATAGTCAAAAAATTAACTTAATGGAAGGACAACCTCCTGCCTTAACCATCCTTTTCCCCTGCTGTGCTTGCACTCTGCACAACCCACGAGGCTGGTGGAGTCCAACACGTGGGTCCCAACCACAGAAGCGCTGATGGGTTTTCGGAGTCATGGCTGTTTTTTTCTGGGCTGCTGGGAAACACAGAGGCCGCTGCACACACTGGCAAACCAAAGCAGCAGAAAGCAAGCCAGCGAGAAACAAGGAGAACTGCTCTTACAGCAAGCCGGGCGGCACCGAAGGAACCGGGGCTCGGACCCACAGGAGCGCGTGGGTAAAAGGGGCCGCAGGAGGTCTCTGATCCAACCTCCCTCTTGCAACAGGACTGCTGCCAATAAGAGATCTGGGCAGCCTGGTCTTGTCTGGGCGATGCTTGAAACCTCCATGGATGGACACGCCTCCCCACCAGCTTTTTTTTTTTTTTTCCTAATGTCCAAGCCAAACTTCCCATGTTCCCCTATTATGTCACCTGCCATGGCTGCCAAAGAGTCTGACCGCATCATCTTCCTAACTGCCCTTCACATCGCTGTACCTGTAATTAGATATGCCCCCAGCTGCCTCTTCACGACACCGAGCTGTCCCAGCTCCCCACCCTCCTCCCAGGTCCTCTGCCCCCAGCCCTGAGCAGCCCAGGAGCCCCAACCAGACCCTCTTTAGCATCCCTGCATTCCTCTTGAATGCGGGGGGGGAGGCCCAAACTGGACATGGTTTCCAGGTGTGACCTCCCAAGTGCTGAGCAGAGAGCCAACAGCTTCCCTTGCTCCGCTGGCCCTTGCCGGAGTGGCGCAGGCTGCGTTTGCCTCATTCGGGAAGAGAGCAGCCACAGCTATGCAATACCCAGCACGACAGAGAAGCTGCCTTCCTGCTGAGAGCCCTGCCGTGACCAGACAAGCCCTCTCTTCTGGGGAACTGCCATTCTTCCTTATCTGCTTTACGGGGATGTGTCCAGAGAGCCTGCGCAGGACTGACAAGACAGACACAGTTAGGAACGCACCCACAGAGCCAGAGCAACAGACCCGAGAAGCAGCGCAGAAGCAGACCCTCTCTCCCCTGGGAGGAGATCGAACTCCAAACCACCTGGCCTTCTGCATTACAATAAAATGCCGGCCCGGGGCTCCTGGCTGGTACGGCGCTGCCTTTTGCAAGCACCCCTAGAGCCAGGCTGGGCAGTGCTATAGCAATGCCAGCTACCTGAGGCGACCGGGAATGCTGTTTTCAGGCTGAACCCTCTCTTGCTGACAACTCAGTGGCGGGCCTCGACAATCCAGCCGTGTCCCTGACTTTGCCAGCAGTAGAAAGCCAGTACCAGCAGATTGGGGGCCAAGCTCTCCTCTCCCTGACGGTTGTTAGCCTTGCTGGTCTTAACCAGTCAACAGTAAGCACTCAACCCTACTGGACATCCTCCCCCAGATGCAGTAGCTGCCAGAGGCCCCCGAGGCAGTAACACACAAAGGAATTTGGGCCTGGTACATTAGCAGCGACCGGAAAGCAAGCAACAAAGCTGGAAATAATGAGATGTCAGTACCATAGTTGCTTCTAGTCATCTGCAAATGCAGCCCCTCCTCGTCAGCAGGTACCGGGAGCCCAGCTCTCCCTGGTGGCCCTGCACCGCCTGCCCGTGCTCATCGGAAGTGACAGCCCTCGCTGGCTACATCCACGTGCAGGGTCTTTATACCATTTGTCAGAGCTCCCTTGCCTCTCTCTCCTCTGCTCTCTAAAAGCCTTGAATGATCATGATGAATTATAGATTAGCTCTGGTACACACCGCCTTATGTCAGTTTTCTCATTCAACCATACAAAATCCTGCTGTTTTCCATCCCCTTCCAGAATGATCATCGTAACGGAGGAGGACGTGGAACAACTCTTCAGTTAGAGCAACTTTTAGGAGAGAAGCCAGTAGAGCTCCATGTTTAGAGGTGTGACACCCCATGGCTATTCAACTTGTACCTTAAAAAAACAACACTGCTTTTATTTTGGGGGTGAGGAGGAGCAGACGAAATAAAAGGTCCGGTTCACGTATATAGACACAAAGAAGTCCTCATGAGCTCCTCCTGAAGGGCCACTGCAGCCCCCGATCCCCACGGGCAGGTATGCTGACATCGCTACCGGATGCCCTACGAGGATACCTTTTCAGAAGCAAATCCTAGACCAGCAACGCCCGGCT